GACCACATGTGTCTGTGGCATAGGAATATGCAAATTAGTGCCGCAAATACCGGAAAGTCATGTTTTTGGCATATCTCGGCCAATATAGCACATAACTACACCAGTAAGGTGTCTAAACCCATGTTTTGAGGGTCAAGTATCATTAGAAGGCCATTCACGAAAGAACTATGTGTGTCTGTGGCATGAAAATATGTAATTTATAAAGTGTCGGTTTATCAGATATTTGATTTTTAGCCAATATCTCGGCCAATATTGCACTTAACTACACAAGTAAGGTGTCTAAACCCGTGTTTTGAGGGTCAGGTATCATAAGAAGACCATTCACTTAGTAATTATGTGTGTCGTTGGCAGGTAAATATGTAAATTCTAAAGTGTCGATTTATCAGAAATTTGATTTTTAGCCAATATCTCGGTCAATATTGCAGCTTATGTTGACAGAAGGGTTTTTGATAAGCAGTAATGATCAAAGTTTATTTTAAGCCATCATATTAAAAATAAACTGTAATATTGGCTGAAATTGAATATAATATTGGCTGAAAATCAAATTTTTGATAAACCGGCAATTTAGAATTTACATATTTTCATGCCAAAGACACACAAAGTTACTTCGTGAGTGGTCTTCTAATGATACCTGACCCTCAAAACATGGGTTTAGACACCTTACTTGTGTAGTTAAGTGCAATATTGGCCGAGATATTGGCTAAAAATCAAATATCTGATAAACCGACACTTTATAAATTACATATTTTCATGCCACAGACACACATAGTTATTTCGTGAATGGTCTTCTAATGATACTTGACCCTCAAAACATGGGTTTAGACACCTTACTGGTGCAGTTATGTGCTATATTGGCCGAGATATGCCAAAAACATGACTTTCCGGTATTTGCGGCACTAATTTGCATATTCCTATGCCACAGACACATGTGGTCACTTCCAGAATAGTTTTATTGTGATCTCTGACCTTAAAAACATGAGTTTAGGCACCTAGTTTGTTCAGTTATCTGCAATATTGGCTGAGATATAATTAAAAATACATTTTTCGGTAATGGCGGCACTAATTTGCATAAAAACAATGCGTGGGACATTTTTTGAATTTTTTAACATAGCAAATCGTTTTCTACACATTTTTTCTGACCTAGAAACGTTGATTAGAAATTGATTTCCGAGGGTGCACGATACCCCCCTTTTCCGACTAAACTAATTGGGAGAGGTGTTAGTGTTTACTGCGGTGGTGTACACCTTCACGGTGAATAGCGGTGAACGTTTTGCATCCATGACTAGCGGCCCAATCAGCTCTGAGTACTTGCTTTGAACGTCATAGCTTAAGGTAGCAGACCAGTAAATAAACTTCCATAGACCCTAATGGTAAATGCTCACATTCAGAAACTCGGGAAAAATACTCACAACTCTCCAAGGTGATCGAGACACACATCAAATTAAAGCTTATTTCATCATCTTTCATTTTCTTTTCAATTCTAGGGGGGTTAACTGATGACTTTTAGGAGAAATTTCCATCCGAAGATGATCACCCCTGAAAATAGTCCTGAAGCCCATCGCCATGTTGAAAAACGATGCCTACACTCCATTGCAAAATAGAACGCTTTAAGGGCCCACAATTCATCCAAATTGAACGGAACTACAAGTTCACAGTCATGTGCACGGCTTCCACCCATATTTTCTTACAAACCCTCAAGTTCATGGCCCTCAGCATGCTCAAATACTGAAGATTTTGAGGGCATGCAAATCGTGATTTGGCCGGCGCAGGCAATTTCGGACCGATTCACTGCCTGCAAACTTAAATTCCCAGTCAGCAAGCCGCGATCGCCCGGCAGCGGCCCATCGGTAGCACCGCTGGCGGGCCGCCGATGGCAGTCGTCGGCGGACCACTGGTACAAATATCTGCTTCCTCGCTGTCGAAATGCCGCACTATAGTTTTGCACGTAAAGCCTTATCCGGTTGAGCGCTTTACAAATGATTTACAGATTCATCGAAAACACGGTGTGCATTGGGCCGAAGCCAGATTTTTTTTCTTAATTTTCAAGTACATGGAATTACCTGCAGTCTTATCATTTTTATATCATCCGCTATGCACAGATTCGTATACATAATGTATTAATTGTATTCAAGTTCATAATAAGGTCAAGGCAAAGGTAAATATATGAATACATGTACTTGGAAAACGGAAATTTTATCCAAAACGAAAAACTAAATAAAAGACTTAACACCGACTGAACCAAAAAACATTATGTAGGACAAAAAACATTATCGGCAAGATATAATAGAAATCCATATTAGGCAAAAAGACTCTCGCATAAATTTTTGCACAGCATTTTTCCCCAACTTTAATGACCCTTCACCCAATTGTTACCTTTTCTACGAATTCTGGTATGATTACTAATTGGACCACGAGCAATCAATCTAGTCTATATTTGCGATGATATGTTGCCTCTAAATAGGGGCTGAGACATTAGGGCATTGGAATGTCACCCAGTAATTCAACATGTCTCTCAAAGGGATAACGTAGGACGCTGTGTCGCCCAAAGGTTAAATTTGTGTTTGTAACGCGCAAGAAAATACAATATATTACATTTAGTTAACCCTAAAGGGGCCGGGGGGGGGGGGGGGCGGCGGAATCCGCCCCCCCCCCCTCAACATTTTCCGTGATAGCCTCTAAATTAAACATAGTACCATTGAAGGTACCTAAAAGTAAACATAACAGCATAGAAGACCGACAGACGAACATGAAATGTTACAAAATAAACATATTTGTCTGGATAATTTTTTAGGTCGTTACCGGCAAGTTAACACAAACTTGGTGTCAAAAAGATCATGGGAGTTACTTTTCTTTGACTTTTCATACAAGTTTACATAAACTTTAACTGTATGACCTGCAGTGGCGTAGCCACGGAGGGGGGGGGGGGGACAGCCCCCCCCATGAAACCTTGTCGCCCCCCCCCCCCAGTCGCCTCCCCCACTGAGATTTTGAGTTTCTAAAAAAAATATCATTGATCTACATGACCCCCCCCATGAAATGTTCCAGCCCAAACCCCCCCCCCCCCCCACACTGAATAATGCCTGGCTACGCCACTGACAGTACATACAGGGGACGAAGTTGGAAAAGAAACACGCATCGCGATATCGGAACGCTTGCGCGTAGTTTAGGCAAGTCAAAAGATCTATCTTTCTTTGGTTTTTTTTTATCTTTTTTCCATGGAAAGTGAATTTCGATTTTTAATTATTTAGCTTGACCCACCCACCCACAATTTGGAAAAAAGATCGAAATTTTAAAACATTGAAAATTCTGAATGGCCCCTCATGTCTTTTTTCCGACTCCACATCAGGTTCTGAGGCAGATATGGGGGAAACCTTTAAAGTAAGTGAACCAATTACTTTGGAATCTGAGGAAGGCCAGCGGCTTCTGGATGAAGCTGAAGTTCGTCAAGACATCTTAATGGACGTGTTTGATTTCCAGCAGCACTATTCGCACTGTGACATACAGAGTGCAGCGCTTCTTCTTGCATCCGTTGAATGTGGAAAAGTGTGTCGTGAAGCAGGGCACTGCAACTTCAGACACTGTAATGACATTAAGGCACAGTACCACGGATTTGCTATGTTCGCCTTCAAGGAGACCGAAGAGATCATTACCCATGATGTCATCCAGAAAAAAAAGGCACCACATTGATGGATGTCGGCCAGTTACTCGTCAGCCACAAACACCAAGCTACGATGTACTTTGGTCAGGAGTCCTCCGTGGATGAATTCCGCTGTCTAGCCGTGGAAGCCCTGCGCCATGAAGATTCCAGCGCTGGAGTTATTCTGAACTTCCAGCGATACCTTTTGGGTCAAATCGGGAAGGCTTCCAAGTTTGGACATCACAGTCCCTTGTGCGCGTATCACAAAGCCTCTGACCGCTTTCTAATGCTTGATACTAATGGTATTGTCATGAATGCTGGCAAACCCAAAGTGTGGTTAAAGACCGAAGATTTGTTTCAGGCAACGCAAGATGTTGATGTAGCTACTGGAAAGTCGCGAGGATTTGTGATCATGGGTGGCGTAATCTGAACATACGTTCAGGCATTTTATTAACTTGGAGCATCCCGTGTTTATGAAACCTTGTCGCCCCCCCCCCCAGTCGCCTCCCTCACTGAGATTTTGAGTTTTTAAAAAAAATGTAATTGATCTACATGACGCCCCCCCCCCATGAAATGTTCCTGCCCCCCCCCCCATGCAGCGCCCCCCCCCCCTTAAAAAAATCCTGGCTACGCCACTGACAGTACATACAGGGGAAGAAGTTGGAAAAGAAACACGCATCGCGATATCGGAACGCTTGCGCGTAGTTCAGCCAAGTCAACAGATCTATCTTTGTTTTTTTTTTGTTACCTTTTTTTCCATGGAAAGTGTATTTCGATTTTCAATTATTTAGCTTGACCCACCCACCCACAATTTGGAAAAAAGATCGAAATTTTACCACATTGAACATTCTGAATGGCCCCTAAACTCAAATAATACAATACAATGACGCAGATTATACGGTATGGTATTATGAAAGGTGACACCAGCGAAAGAGTGGACAGCTAAATTGTTGGACTAAATGTCGGTAAATGTCACATTGGAAACTGGAATAAATTCAATTCCATTGCCATTGAAAAATACACATACATGAATATCTCTATTTATGCTAAATAGACGCACTTCATTAATTCAAACGATCAAGAAAGTATAATGAACCACGCACTGCAATTAATGTGATCGTAAAATACTACCCTACCTGAAAGCCATCACCGCGATTGTAGTACTACACAGCTGCGCATGTTTTATAAAGAAAATAAATGGCTAATGATTACGTTACAGAACTTCAAACCACGACTTGTATATGGCCGATCGGAATTTCGGATAGTGTGACAGTACGCTAGTCTTAAGTAGGCCTACTGCTTTGACGGAACCTAATACTAAATTGGTAAACCCTTCTTGTTTTATGTCGACATTTTTTGGACAGGCCATGGAGCTTCAAACACACGAAAACGGCAACATGGAGGGTTCGCAGAAAGATGCAAATAGTCAGGTGCCTTCTCCAATGGAGACTCCGCCCAGAGGTTTGGCAACTCCAGAGGAAGCGGTTGATGCCGACGGTGACCAGCAACCAGCGAAGAGCAGGTTTACATCCCACCAGATAGCCACCATCGTGGGCACCCTTTTGGCCGCGCTTACTAACATGATGGCTTTCTCGGTCATTACGGTGTTCTACCCTATTGAGGTAAGTTCAACCCACGTAGCCACGGGGAGGGGGGGGGCATGGGGCCCCATAAATTGGCCGTGCCCCCAGGTCCCCCACCAAAATACTGATAATGCCCCTCTTCCTTCCCCAACCAAAAAGACTTTTGTAAGTTGTATTGTTTTTAGTTAGCCAAAGGCTAACTGTTTACAATGTCTTATGTCAAGCAGGAGCAAGAGCGGATCCAGAACACATAATTTTTCTATTTTTTTTTTTTTGGGGGGGGCAAAAATTTGTTGGTCCTTATAAAAAAGTGGGTACACAAAAATTACGGCGTGAGGTTCGGGTCCCCCTCAAGAGGCACATTTTTTTTTTGGGGGGGGGGGAATTCTAGAAACTCTGTCGTGGGATCTGAAGCAATTTCTTACCACAATTTTTTTTAAACGGAAAAGATGTTGGTACGGTGTACGCAAAATTGGGTTATTTTTTTTTAGGGGGGGGGGGCATGTCCCTCGTTGTCCCCCCTCCCTGGATCCGCCCTTTGCTAAAATGATTATTAGGATCCTCTAAGTTTGTTTAAATCAATGTATCGTGCAAGCCCCATTATTGAAATGAGTGAATGGGTGCACATGTAACATTTACGACCAAGGACATTAAACAACATACGAATACCCTATTAGCAATTTAGTCCCGGTTACTAATTTGTAGTATGATGGTTGCTAGTATGGTAGTATTGCGCTTGCGTAAGTAGGATAACACGATATTTTTAGGATCATATATATCATGTATACGGGAGACTGACCTGTCGCGTGCGAGGGATTAACCAATAATAAGGAAAAGGAGTCCGATTTTGACGGAGTCAGATTATCATAATGACACCGACGTTCGATTACTTCCTCCGGCGCTTATCGTGCACGTGCGACTGCGCTCGATTTAAAGAGCCATTACGACCAGGAATGCCCGAAATTTTAAAGTGTTTTTGGCTTTTCCGCAAAGTTGCGGAAAAGCCTTTGTTTTTGTTCTGTTTTTTTTAGCTGTTTCGGTGTACACACCGAAACAGCTCTTGTTTTTGTTATTTTTTAGCTGTTCCCAATTTCAATTGGGAACAGCTCTTGTTTTCGTTAATTTTTTTTTTTTCTTTTTTTTTTTTTTTTTTTTCTTTTTTTTTCTTTTTCCACTTTTCTCATAGGTTTTGTACACGTTTTTATTCTACAAGCAACTTTGGCAATTATTTTAAATCCGATCAACTTTAAACTCAGCATAGTTATTAACCATCATCTGAGGATGTATGCCGAAAATTTTCGTCATGCTGACGTCATCACGTGATTTATTATAGAATTTTGAATATTTAATTTTTTCCATAGACTTTGTACACAGAAATAAAAAAAAAATATCAATTTTCAGAGGGCATTTTCGACTCTTTGCCAGTTATTCATTTACACCAATCTTTGTCCAAGCAAAGACCCTAATTCAAACAACATTGTGTAATGATGACGTCATGATGACGTCATCCGGAGTTTATCTATAGGCAATTAAATTGTGACAATTTTAATATTTAAAAATGCATAAGAAATCAACCGTACGCGTCCGCAGCATTATGTTGCCGGCAAGTGGTAGAATAGGTTAAGGTCTTTATTTTATTCAGTGTGCGTGAAATCACGTGACCTTTGCTTCCGGTCGAAAAAGGCCAAAACCGGAAGTGGCTTATTATTTAAAAGTGGTAATAGATATGAACTTGCTTTCAACGGTGTTAGTCTCTTGACTAATAGTATTCTTCAAATCATCTACCGATGACGTCATGCAATCTTCGAGCGCCCCCTAGCGACAGGTTGAAAATTTTCAAAAATGTATTTTGAATAGATGTCTGTGGCGAAGTTTGTCGGAATCGCCTAAATATTGGTGTATATAATGACCTTGACCCACTTAACAGGTGTGCGAAGTTTTAGGTATATGACGTCATCAGACTGGAAGTTATATTGAAAAGACCCTTTTTCCTTTGAAAATTCCTGAAAAATCAACCAGCAGTTTTTTATTAGTTTTTACTTTAATTGTCTTTTTAAGGGTAGGTCTAAAACATTTCAAAGCTTCGAGGCAATAAGCAAACTCGGACATGCCCTGCGCATGCTTCAAACTTCAGGTTGACAATACTTCTGCTTTAAAACATGCACAGGACGTCCATAATGTACATGTACATGCACGTACGTTGTACATATCGTATGTCAGTCAGCCCGCAGCGCACGTGTTGCTGAGGTCGAATCCTGTCCACAGTGACCGTTTTAGCCGATTTTCGGCTAACTTTGACAGATTTTATGTTCATGCATAGTCAGGGACGTATTATTGATAAAAACAAATCATAATGCGGAAAAGCCCTATGTTCTGTTGCAAACAGACATAGATCTCTACTTATATGTCTATTGGTTCAACAGACATTCAATATTGGGAACAGCTCTGTGGTTGTCCACAACCACAATTTCTAGTTTTTTTCTCTTTTTTTTTTTTCTTCCATTTTTTTTCCTATAGGATAACACGTGTTTTCGTTCTACAACGCACTTTTGGACCTTTTTCAAATCCGATCGACTTCAAACCTGGCACACACTAAGACCACCATCTAAAGATGTGTGCCGAAACTTTTCGTCATGCTGACGTCATCAAGTGTCACGTGACGTCATCCTAAAAGAGCATACTTTAAGGCCCTATATCTACAGAACCGGAAGTCCGATTGGGTTCAAACTTGGTATGCAAGTATTCCGGGACGTGTGATAGACGAAAATTGCAGTAACGTCATGATGACGTCATCGTGTGATTTTATTAAAATTATTCAATTTTTGGACCTTTTACTCATATCTCATACAAGGAATGTGGTAAATTCGAAATTCTTTTCGTAACAGGTTTGTTAGGTCATAGATAGATGCACAAAATTTCGTAAAATGTGTGACGTCATGATGACGTCATCAAAAACGTGATTTTTTGTTTCACATATAAGGTTATGTCCGATCGTTATGAATCTTGGTGGGTAGGTAGGTATAGATAACAGCATTCCAAATCTGAAATGACGTCATCATGACGTCATCACCTGATTTTTTATGAATTTTTTCAAATTTTACTATTTTCTTCAATTTTTTCAAAAATTATATAAAATACGGTCCGATCGACTTCAAACACGGCACACACTTATACAACCATCTGAAGATGTATGCCGAATCATGACGTCATCATGACGTCATCACGTGTCACATGACGTCATCCTAAAACTGCATAGTTTAAGTCACTATATCCAGAGAACCTGTGGTCCGATTGGGTTCAATCTCGATATACAGATATTCCAGGAGGCGTTATAGACAAAGATTGCAGTGACGTCACGATGACGTCATCATGTGATTTTATATGAATTATTCAATTTTTGGACCTTTTACTCATATCTCATCAATGGAACGTGGTTAATTCGAAATTCTTTTTTGCAAAAGGTTTGTTAGGTCGTAGATAGGTACTGGTCGTAGATAGTTTTTTTTTTTTTTTTTTACATAGGATGGACACTTTTTGTATAGAATATTCATGTACATGTTCATTCGACCTGGATGAAACTAATACGGCAGTCATTAATAAAACGTTCGAAACAGCTCAGTGTTTGTCCACAAACACATTTCTAGTTTTTCTTTCTTCTTCTTCTTCTTCTTCTTCTTTTTGTTCCACTTCAAATGCCATTGACTTTGTGCACGTTTTTTTCTCAGTGCCACTTTTGGCATTAATTTTTGCCATACATCATTCAAACTTAGCATAAGCATAGTCCCTATAGCAAAGATGTTTCCCGAAGATTGACGTCATGGTGACGTCATCGACTAATTTACTATAGATTTTTGAATATTTGATTTTTTCCATAGACTTTGGACACAGAAATTAAAAAAAATGTCACTTTTCAAAGGGCATTTTCGACTCTTTGCCAGTTATTCATTTACACCACTCTTTGTCAAAGCAAAGACCCTAATTCAAACAGCATTGTGGAATGATGACGTCATGTTGATGTCATCCTGTGTTTATTTATAGGCAATTAAATTGTGACACCTTTAATATTTATAAATGCATAAGAAATCAACCGTACGCGTCCGCAGCATTCTGTTGCCGGCAAGTGGTAGAGTAGGTAAGTGTCTTTATTTCATTCAATGGGCGTGCAATCACGTGACCCTTGCTTCCGGTCGAAAAAGGCCAAAACCGGAAGTGGCTTATTATTTGAAAGTGGTAATAGATATGAACTTGCTTTCCACGGTGTTAGTCTTTTGGCTAAAAGTATTCTTCAAATCATCTACCAATGACGTCATACAATCTTCGAGCGCCCTCTAGCGACAGGTTGAATATTTGCAAAAATGTATTTTGAATAGATGTCTGTGGCGAAGTTTGTCGGAATCGCCTTAATATTGGTGTACATGATGACCTTGACCCACTTAAGGCGTGTGCGAAGTTTTAGGCGAATGACGTCATCAGACCGGAAGTTTTAATAAAAAGACCCTTTTTCATTTGAAAATTCCTGAAAAATCAACCATGGCAGCTTTTATGTTAGTTTTTACCTTAAATGTTGATTGAAGGGTAGGTCTAAAACATTTCAAAGCTTCGAGGCAATAAGCGAGCTCTGACATGCCCTGCGCACGCTTAAAACATGATGCTGACAATACCTCTGCTCTGAAACATGCACAGAACGTCTGTATGTACATTACATACACGTACGTTACGCACATACATCGTATGTCAGTCAGCCTGCAGAGCACGTGTTGCCGAGGTCAAATCCTGTCCACATCACAGTGACCGTTTTAGCCGATTTTCGGCTAACTTTGACAGATTTTATGTTCATGCATGCGCATAGTCAGGGACGTATAAAAAACAATCATGATGCCGAAAAGACCTATGTTACGTATTTAAAGGTGCAGTTTCTCTGCAGTGGGATTTTCCACAAGTCTTTTCCTATACAACACTGATATTTTACTGAGTAGTTCTGAACTTCGGCCGAGAATTACTATAAGAAGGAAAGATAAATCGTAGTTTTTTTCGCGCTGTCATTCGATTGAACATATTCCTAAGGGTCAGAATATCAAGTAATATTTCATTAAAATGCTTCAGTTCAAAGGCAAATTACAAATTTAGAGGTGCAATTTTTCTGCAGTGGGATTTTTTTTAGCCCGTTAACTTTGTACACTTGTTAGCCCATTGACTTTGTACACGTTTTCAAGGCACCATTTCTATAACTTGGCAATCTGGAATCGTCATCAATGTTACAGCCAAGGAAGACCCTCATACAAAAATTATGCCAAGACTATGGCGTCATTATGACGTCATCACCTAATTTTTTTTATTGATTTTTGAAATTTACGTGCATATTATGAAGTCCTATGTCTACAGAACTGTAAGTCTGATTGGGTTGAAACTTGGTATGTGGCTAGACCGGGATGTGTTATAGGTAAAAAAAAAAAAAAGGTGACGCCATGATGACGTCATCCGGAGAGTTAATATGAATATTAGAAGTTTTTGACCTTTTAGCCATATCTCATGAACGTAACATGCAAAATTCAAAATTATTTGTGTATTTGGTCTGTTAGGTAAAAGGTATTTGCACAAAATTTTGAAAAAAATATCTTACATCATTATGACGTCATAAAAATGCGATTTTTCAAAATACATATAAGGAAAGGTCTGACTGTCATGAAACTTAGTGGGTAGGTAAATAATGGTACTAGTATACAAAGTTTAAAGTGACGTCACGATGACGTCATCGTTTGGTTTTTATTATTTTTAGATATTTATAATTTTATTCTGTTTCCACAAATTGCACACTTTCTTTCATCGGATTGACATTAAACTTGGTTCAAACCAAAATCACAATGACAAAATGTGCATTGAGAAGGGTCTTAAGGATGACGTCATTGCAGGGCAAGTGACATCATTTGATAAAAATATACTTTAGCAATTATTATAAGCGTTTTGAACAACATTTAACTGCATGAAGCACTTTGAAAAGTGACTGCAAAAGGACAAACGAAACAAATATTTGTAAAGTGCGAAAAAGCCCCCCTGTGTTCTGTTTGCAAACAGACATACAGCTCTAGTTTCTTTCTTCTTCTTCTTCTTTTTGTTCCACTTCAAATGCCATTGACTTTGTGCGCGTTTTTTTCTCAGTGCCACTTTTGGCATTAATCTTTGCCATACATAATTCAAACTTAGCATAAGCATAGTCCCTATAGCAAAGATGTGTCCCGAAGATTGACGTCATGGTGACGTCATCGACTGATTTATTATAGATTTTTGAATATTAAATTTTTCCCAAAGACTTTGTACACAGAAATTTAAAAAAAAATTGTCGATCTTCAAAGGGCATTTTTGACTCTTTGCCAGTAATTCATTTACACCAATCTTTGTCCAAGCAAAGACCCTAATTCAAACATCACTGTGCAATGATGACGTCATGATGACATCATCCGGTGTTTATTTATGGGCACTTAAATTGTGACTCTTTTAATATTTAAACATGCATAAGAAATCAACCGTACGCGTCCGCAGCATTCTGTTGCCGTCAAGTGATAGAATAGGTTAAGGTCTTTATTTTATTCGGTGTGCGTGAAATCACGTGACCCTTGCTTCCGGTCGAAAAAGGCCAAAACCGGAAGTTACTTATTATTTAAAAGTGGTAATAGATATGAACTTGCTTTTAACGGTGTTAGTCTTTTGGCTGATAGTTATTTTCATATCATCTACTGATGACGTCATGCAATCTTCGAGCGCCCTCTAGCGACAGGTAAAAAAAAATCAAAAATGTATTTTGAATAGATGTCTGTGGCGAAGTTTGTCGGAATTGCCTAAATATTGACGTATATGATGACCTTGACCCCCTTAGAACGTGTGAGAAGTTTTAGGTGTATGACGTCATCAGACCGGAAGTTATAATGAAAAGACCTTTTTTCCTTTGAAAATTCATGAAAAATCAACCATGGCAGTTTTTATATTAGTTTTTACTTTAATTGTCGATTTAAGGGTGGGTCTAAAACATATCAAAGCTTCGAGGTAATAAGCGAACTCGAACATGCCTTGCGCACGCTTAAAACTTTAGGTTGGCAATACCTGTGCTTTAAAACATGCACAGGACGTCCACAATGTACGTGTACAAGCACGTACGTTGTACATACGCACATCAGTCAGTCAGCAAGCATCGCACGTGTTGCTGAGGTCAAATCCTGACCACGGTGACCGTTTTAGCCGATTTTCGGCTAACTTTGACAAAACATGCACAGGACGTCCACAATGTACAGAACATGTACATGCACGTACGTTGTACATACGCACATACATCGTATGTCAGTCAGCCCGCAGCGCACATGTTGCTGAGGTCAAATCCTGATCATAGTGACCGTTTTAGCCGATTTTCGGCTAACTTTGACAGATTTTATGTTCATGCATAGTCAGAGACGTATTATTGATAAAAAAAAAATCATAATGCGGAAAAGCCCTATGTTCTGTTGCAAACAGACATAGATCTCTAGTTTTTTTTTATACTTTTCCTACTTCAAAGGTCTGGTTGAAAGAAAACTGAAATGTGGAAACCATTTGACTTCAGCGTACTAGATTTTATTCAAATTTAACTCGCAAATGGCTTATTCCATACTGCTGTTAACATATGCAAGCTTCAATAACACATTTTTTTTTAGATACACTGATTGAAGAATGAAATCCGCTTTTTAGGGATTCATTATATCAAATGGTTTTCCTGTCACTTTGCAACAGGCAAAGAAAAGGGGAATATCACAGACAGTTATTGGGATGGTGTTCAGCGTATTTTCCTTGTCATACGGCATAGGATCGCCCCTAATAGGCAAAATGGTAAGTCCCTGTTTGGTCTAAAAATTCAATTAGACATTATTTAGGGGAACGCAAAATATCTCGTGTTTAATCTACAACATCTTTGAATGAGGAATGTAGGCTAACAGTAGACCTTTCTTTTGTTTGTAAATATTGGCGCCATTTTATATGGGCTGTCGCAAGCGCATAAATTAAAGCCGTGGTTGGCAACATATTAAAAAAAGGCCCCATAATGCCATCAATACACATTAAAAAAAAGAATGTGTAGGAATTGTGTTGACGCTTTATTTCCAACAATCTAATCATATTTGGGTTTTCTGTAATAACTCTTCTTCGTTTCTGCAGTGTTGGACATTTCAAAGTTTTGCATCCCGTAATTTTGCCAACCAAGCATAGAAAGGTCTATAGGAACAAAAATAAAACCGACCATTTCTTTCAAAGACTTTGTTCTCTACTCGCCAAAAGATGGCGCTATTTGGTTGTTAGCGCCCTCTACCGGCTCATTTTCCCCTTTTTGCTAATAGTCATTGACTTTAACATTACATGTACATGTATATGCTTCTTAGATACCAATCGTTGGTGCCCGTTTCGTATTTCTCGCCGGTTCATTTTTCACGGGAGGTTGTAACATTCTGTTCGGGTGAGCATTAATCTCTTCATGTTCTCTCCTCTTTTTTGTTTTGCTTCATGGACCGTATTCACGAGGTAGCCATTTTTTCCATTTTTGTCATGTTCCCTAAGTGTATTTCATAAATTGTTAACTGTTGAATGGGGTGGCGCCAGACTATTTATGCAGCCTTGTTTTACCTATTTTTTTTATTATCTGGTTTAAAACATTAGGGAATATTTAATTACGAAGTGTAAATTATTCGTTTAAGCACACTTGGATTATTTAGTAATGTTCCTGCTCTCAATTCTCTGCCCAAGTTCCAACGATTTTACTCCACTTTCAATTCAATAAGGCCCATTGGGCTACAGTTTACTTTTGAGAACTGGGGGAGCACTAACTGTTTTCTGTCCTATGCTATAACACAGGTTTATTATCGACATGCCCACAAACGCTACTTTCACTGGGTTCAGTTTCGCCATTCGCATTTTAGAGGGGCTTGGCTCGGCTGCTGCGCTGACGGCATCAGCGGCCATCGTAGCTTCTGTATTCCCTGATGATGTTGGCAAGGCTGTGGTATAAAAAGTTACTTTCATGGGCACTTATATTACATTTGAGCGAATGAGATGACGCTGGAACTAAACTACACTTTGAAAGGTCCCGCGTCCGATTTGACCCGGAATCCGAGTCATATTTTGACCTGATAATTTTCCGGGTAAAAACGACATTTCTTCCCGGTTCAAAATTACACTTTTCCGGATCACAATGACCCAAAAGATGACCACCATACTAATTAAAGGAAATAATGCGTGCATTTATAAGTGTGCCTGGCCGTTTTTAACACTATGTTTAAGACCTATTTGTTTCTGGATGCTGATAATTTATACCCAAGCCGAAGTCTAGGGTAATTTTCATTATCGGTCAAAAAATCAAAACGTTTCGGTCCAAAAGTCAAAACAAGTCCAAAATTACAAATGCCCAACGATTTTGATCAACATTTTAACTTCATGTTTTTGGACCCCCTTTACTGTATTATGGTGTGTCAATTCTCGAAAGTCGTAGTAAAAAACCCCCAAAAAACTCCCTATATGAAGTTTGCGTAGCGCGCGAGTGGCGCAGAACGCAGCTGTTCCAGTAATTGTGCATTTAGTATTATGGTATATGGACTCATTGGTGGTATTGCGCATGCCTACGTGAGGATTGTGAACGTTAAATTAATATAACTGTAAAAGGCACCAGATTTCATAGGACTTTAAATTCTCTTGTGACACTGGAAAATTATTTAAGACCAGCCATCCGGTTCTTATCAACCGTTGAAAACCGGCCATGTGACGGGCTCTCGAAAAATAGGAATGGGTGAACTATCTTACGTATTTATGAATGTGTATTGAAATATTCAGTCCTGCAAAGGGCAAACGTAAACTTTTATTCCGGCAGAAAAGTGACGACTTAAATTGAGATAGAGTAAATCATTTGCCTTTGCTTATAGCTGATTAATAAAGCAAAAATCACCGAACGCAAGTTTTCACTTCAAAGCACCTGTTTAGCTCAAGGTAAACTTAGCTATTTCCATTGGTGCCTCCTTCCTAAATCAACAGAGTCTGGTTGAGACGACTATCGGCTTTTCCTTAGCAATAGGGCCAGCCGTAGGCGGCTTGCTGTATAACGTAAGTATGGGAAAATTGCAATCGGAGTTAATGAGTTAACGCAATGAGTGCAGTTGTTTTCTGTTCCCCTCCCCCCCCCCCCAAAAAAAAGAAAACAATAGTGAAGAGGTAAATACCACCTCCTATAATGTCCAGTCAATTGAAATAAGCTGCACGTTAAAAGAACTACACGTGACATGATATTTGCCTTGGATGGAACCAAAAACATTCTTTCTTCTAATCAGATTTTTAGATTGAAGTAAAGTTGCCAAATTGCTTGAACGTTTTATTAAATGTGATTTTTTGTTATTGTACCAAGAAAAGGACGTCTTCCCAGAGTCCTAACTCGCTCAACAAATGGTGAGGGGAGTGAGGCGCCCTCTGTTGTTTGCATACAGAGTCAACAACAAACAAACAAATAAACACATTTGTAATAGTTTTGCTGATATGTCTTACCAGGCTGCAGGATTTAGAACTCCCTTCTTCATCCTTGGTGGTCTCGTTTTGTCGACCGTTGTCGTCAACTACTTCTTGATGCCTAATGAAGGTTTGAATCTTTAAAACCAATATTATTATTGCTATTGCTATTATTATTATCCTTATTCTGGTTTATAAAAAAAAAAATTAAAACAATCGGCAGCCACTATAATGTGTCTGAAGAGACTGGTTTACAATAGTTAAACAGTATTGATACATATAAAACATATAAATAAAAAGAGATTCATCTAAAAAGTACGAGAACCTGCATTATAAAATATTTTTAAAAAGTTGATAAGGTATCCAAAAAAAAAAAAAAATACTTATATATCTGAAATAAATGATAGCATAAAAACTGGATCAGGCTTTTTAAAAACTAGAGCAATGTTGAAATGTATACACTGTAGATCAATTAAATGCATACACATTGTAATAATATACACGCATGTATAAAAATTGTATAAAAAACATGAAAAATCGTATTTTTTAATCGAATTTGAAATCGGATCCACAATACAATGTTGATATTAAAAAAAAGGCTGTTAAAGCGATTGCATTCAGTGGCCACCTTTGAGGTTTTTGTTTACTCAACCGTAGTGCCCTGTTGAATAAAACCCCATAAATACCTCAATAGATGCGCTGCAACTGACGATCTATAAAATATCCCAGTAAACAGTGGAACGTGAAAATCACTTAAACATCACTTCGGTCTAAGGTAACCGAATTAGTGTAAGTTACGTTCTGCACACGCGTGATAACCACGTGAAAGCGTTAATGCAAATTTTGTACACAGTCCCTTGATTGCAATGTGTAATTTTACCCGTTTTAATAACGCAATTTGCCCAATCCTGCATCACGTTTAAACAAAAACGTAAAACGCACGTTAGTAGCTCGTTGAATTATCACGTTCTGCACACCTAATACAAACGTTATTTGTCGTTTTTTTACCCGATTTTGCACACCTATTATATACGTGAATCGTTTGCTCTGTGTTCACGTTTTGCACGACTCATGGTTACGTTACCAATTGTGTGTGAATTACGTTATGCCCACGCGTGAAAACTGCGTGAAAGCGTTAATGTGATTTGTCTACACAGTCACTTGATTGTAATCACGTTAAAAACACGGTAATAATACCCGTTTTAATAAATCTTGTATCACGCTTAAGAAACGAAAAACGCACGTGCTTGTATCACGTTTTGCATACCTATTGCTCCCGGGTTTTTTTATCGCGTCTTGCACACCTGGTATTCACGTTATTGCTTCGTTCTTTTGTCACGTTTTGAACCACTCCTAGTCACGTTACCAACGCGTTGTTAATACAGTTTAGTTATTTTAGCAATGCCTACGGTTCGGCAATGCGGTTCCTAAAACTCAATTAATATCGGTTATTATGCAAATAATTATTAAACTCAATGTATATTGGTTAGTATACAATATACACATAAAACGAGATTGGGTCCTCTGATCATGCACCTTCTCCAATCTAAGAAGGTGCTTACTTGGTACATATGTGCCTCTCGACCACCGCCGTCTGTAGTCACAGTTTGCACGTATTCAAAAATTGTATTTGCTTTGTTTGTTTTTGTTGGCAAATTAGTTTCTTTTAGACTTTGAATAGCAAAATATTATAACATTCTCTACATAAAAACATCCTAAAACATACCACTGTTACGCAAATCGTTCATGGCCAAAAAGACACATTTGCTTCCCCAAGGTTTACCACGCCCACCTCGGGTCAACATGTAAATCAAGGTCACAGTAAAACAATCTATTGGTCTTTAAAAAAACGAAAACTGAACCTTTCACACATACTAAATAATTACGTTATGCAGGGCAGTAAGATGCATCGGTGAATAACAAGACAGAATAACGTGAAGATCACCAATGAGAAACACTGGTAACTGTTCAGCCTAATCTACTGGTCTTTGAAAACGACATAACAACCTTTTACACACACTAAATAATTGCATTCTTTAAGATCACCAATGAATTAATGGTAACTGTACAATCGAATCAATTGGTCTTTAAAAAACGACATAATAACCTTTTACACACGTTAAATACACACGTTATGTAGGGCAGTAAGATGCCTAGGTAAATTACAAGAGACAATAACGTGAAGATTACCAATCAATTACTGGTAACTGTACAACTTAGGGCCAAAAAGAGTCTCCGTTTTCTGGTATGCGCGCGCGTCGCCGTAGCTATGCGCGTCGGCCAAATGAAAAATGTTTGTATTCAATGAAAGATGATGACTCAAAACCGCCAAACTCACTGCTTTGACTGGAATCCTGCTGCTGCACAATTTTAACGTGTTTTTAGATGGGTTATGATGGAGAATAAGCTTTTTTGGCCTCTCTGGACTCCCATAATATTTGCACTAAGTTTAGTCGGGCACCATTTGCAGTCATCAGCCGACATTTGAAGCCCAAACAAAAAAAAACAGGTTAAAAAAGCCGCGTCGCCGCACCACTTTCTGGACAAGCTCCATACCAGAAACCGGAAACTTTTTTGGGGGCCTTATCTGTTGGTCTTTACAAAAAACGAAAAATTAACCTTTTACACACACTAGATAATTACGTTATGTAGAGCAGTAGGAGGCCTAGGTAAATAACAAGACATTATGACGTGAAGATTACCAATGAATTACTGGTAACGGTACAACCTTATCTATTGGTCTTAAAAAACGAAACAAAAAAAAACCTTTTACACACACTAAATAATAACGTTATGTAGAGCAGTAAGATGCCTAGGTAAATAACAAGAGATAATAACGTGAAGATCACTAGTGAATTACTGGTAACTGTACAACTTAATCTATTGGTCTTTAAATAACGAAAAAGTAACCTTTTACACACACTAGATAATAACGTTATGTAGAGCAGTAAGATGCCTAGGTAAAAAAAGGAGACAATAACGTGAGGATCACTAATGAATTACTGGCAACTAAAGAACCAAATCTGTTGGTGTTTTAGTTACAAAAAATGACTTGTCATATACACCAAATAATTACGTCAACTAAGTGGTAACTAGTCTAGATAATGAATAGGTAATAATAACGTTATAATCACCGGAAATGTGTAGTACCTGAAAGCCAGAAGTATTGGCGCTTCAAAAGCGAAATAATCTGTAAATACCATATAGAAACGGTTCAAAAACACGTCATTTGGTTAAGTGAATATGTAGAAATCATAACGCGATTCGCACTAGTTATAAAACCTTCCGGAAGCACATTTCTATGTTCACGTGATTATTAGGTAATTAGGTAAACATCACGTTATAAAAACGCTAAAATTTGGTTAATTAAAAAACTTCCAAACCAAAAATTCACTAAAAACTCTCTCCTCAAACAAACAGGTTCTTTACTGGTGTTTCGTTTACTGGGATGAGATACAAAATGGTGCTAAACTCGTGGGCGAAGATGCAATTCCCGATTCTGTATAAACTTACCTCAAGCAAACTTGGATTCACGTCTGTTGTTTTAACGTCCTAATGGGAAGACAACGCCCTCATTGGCGGAAAAAAATGACCAATCAATGTTAAGCTGCAGTTAGCATCAGATTCTAACCCCGGACATCAGTGATTAAATAAAAGTACATAAGCTCCACATTTGTACATGAGGGTACCAGACCAAATAGGGCGCCAGATTCAGGTTGTTGTTCCCTGCTGACTTCGTACAATGTTATTTACCATTTTTGATCAGGGAACGAGGCAGAGGAGTCTGGTTCTGTGAGCCGAGTGCTCAGTATACCTGCCGTCTGGGTCGCTTTATTCGCCAACTTCGTTGGCTTTGCAGCCACTGCGTCCCTGCAGCCAACTCTGGCAATTTTTCTGGACGAGGTAATGGAGACAAAATTGACATTTTCTTCAAATAACATTTTTTTTTAAAATCACGATATGCGAGTTTAAGTGGCAAAGTTAAAATGGGCCATTCAGAGTTTTGATGATATATCCTTCGGTGTGTGTATTTTGTCTGCCCTTGTGACCGAGTTTAACCGCGCTGATGTGGTCACGTGACCAAAAGTCGTGATCTTATTTGTCAATGTGCACTGTTTGATTAACAGGCAGGAAGGGTCCATCTCTTCTCCAAAGTTTCCCGTAAAATACTTTTTGACGATATTTTTTTTTTCCAATACACATTTTATTTGATCGACACTTTCTTCTTGATAGCTTAATTTTAGTGTGATGGCGATAAGTCTGCTCTTTGTTAGCTTGGGTTTGGGCTACGGCTTATTCTCAGTGATCTGGGGTGCCATTGCGGACGCAAAGGTAAGAGCAAATGCCAGGGCGTATGGGTGTGTGTGTGGGGGGGGGGGGGTGTGCGTTAAGGCGTTACTTTTAATGACAATTGAAAGACTATGCATCGCTCCGAATTAGACACAAAATGTAGGAGTTTATTTTGTAGCAGGATATAACTGATTAGAATGAGATGGAATTTTGCATTGGGGTAGTATCAATCTAATTAGGTTTTTGCCCTTCACCGACGTTTAAACACTGTTTACTCAGTGTGTTACCTCCCGAGTGAGAGTTTGAAGAAAAAAATCACTCGTGTGGGACTCAAACCCACTCATGCTTTCTAGTGCAGAGGTCTTACCACTCGACCACCGAGCTAACGGGATCGGTTGGCTGGTTGGGATCTGATTTACATTATATTAACTATTATAAGCGGTAAACGGCAAAAAAAAAAAAAAATGAAGGATAAAACTTCATACTGATAATAATAACAATGATAAGAAAAAGCTCAACATTAATACTTTGATTTTTTTTGTGTATTAATTTGACAATTTTTGATTTCCTCATGTCAGAAATGCGCTAGAATACTAATTGTAGTAGGTGCATCCGGCAGTGGTGGACTGTTTCTGCTGTTAGGGCTACCGCAGATTTTGCACTTGCCTGTGTAAGTTTACTCTTGAAAATTGGTTATTGTTAGGAACGCTTCGAAACGCCTCAAAACGTGGAAGAGTTTCAAGATCGTTAAGTAACGCTCCTGTTTTAACACATTTGCGAACGTCCCTGTATAATCATCTGTCGGAACAGCTTGGAAAACGTTTAAACACCTGAAACGTTTCTCCTACAGGACCGGGGTACTTCCCAGCGTTACCATACCCATCTCAGCCGCAACGTTTACCATGTTGGCTACTCCAACGTTCGTAGACATGTTACGTTCTGCAGAGTAAGTGCAATTACTACACTGTTCGTTTTTAACTCTTGTAACTGTTTATACTAACACATTATTGCAACATTACTGAAGCACGGACAAATGCTAAACAAACTTTCTAAAAAATCCACCAAAAAAAAGAACGAGAAAAAAAACCACCCATCGGCGTTTTTATGTACATGAAACCAAATCGAACTTGGTCAAAGAATTGATGCCTCGTTTAGAGTGATATGCATATAATGGGCATATTCAATTCAGAAATATGCAACGCCTTTTTTTTTGCTAACTTTGAATTTAATGTATACATGTATAGGCTGCTGTTATTTTGTTTAGAAAAATCCCCAGATGAATAACAAGTCCAATAGCTCAGTAAAGCTGGTACAGAAGTTACACAATTGTACTGTTAAAAACAAAAGTTTTCAGTTTCGGATTAACACAATAAAAACCTCAATCCTACAGGTGGTATGACATACCGAGTGGAATAGGTTTGACTGCTGTTATATCCGGCCTTTGGCACAGTTCGTACGCACTTGGGTAAGCGGGTCAATAAGACACCGTTGGTGGCGCTATTTGCGGAATGACTGAAAGCTAGGTCCGCAATCGTGCTCTCTTTATCTTCTGATAAGAATTTACGAAACAAGGGGAAAAAATCGCCAGTGTAAATCAATGGTGAAAGCTTACACAGCCTCGGTTTGGCCAAACGTTTGAGCCAAAAGATTCCGCCTGCGCAGTGTGTACTTCCTTTGCAACTTGGCCAAAAAGCGCCACCTACAGGTCGTGCACCGAATGCATTCTGCTAATGAATTTTTAAATTTAGATAAGACCTTAATCTCCACATGCTCCTTCTCCTCCTTCTTTTTCATGCTGCCAACATAGTTACATGGTACCTGTATAAGTAAAATTAACATAACATGAGAAAAAGGCACAGTTGATACAATAGTTTGGTTACATACTTTCTCCATTGCCCTTTAATATGTCAATCATCCCACAAATACAATTACTTCTTTCATACTAAAGATGGTGTATATCTCTTGAATCACCACCAGAAATTAAATGAACACAAATACATTTTGATTTTTCCTATTAGCTCATTGGCGGGCCCGTTGCTAGGGGGCGTCATCACAGAGTATTACGGGTTCGGCTATTCGATTATGACCATCGCTTGTACCTCATTCACTGTTTTGATCATCACGTGTCTTTTTGGCATCTGGGAGTTTCGATGCGGAAAAGGGTAGGTTGCAAATAAACACTGAGAACGTAAATGGAGGCAGTACTTAATGCTATTCCTTACAATGTCAACACTTATTTTCTGAGCGCCCCCTATTGTCCGTTTGTAATAATCTAGAAACGTGGTACCGCAGTCGTAAGCAAATTTCAAACCCTGGTCATGCTAAGGGAAACCGTAGCGGGGGATTAGCGACTAGACCAGCGGTCCACCGTGCCGATTATCACAGTCCTATTGAATTTATTTATAAAGATCGGCGAGATGAAAAAACGTTGGGTGGAAGTCTTTACATAGGTACATTGATGGGTGAAGCTTAAGTGTGTTGCTTGAATTGGAAGTCGGGAGCATATACCCGTCTCAGGACAAAAGGTCTGTCGTTCACAAGCTGTAATATAATGCCCGTGTGGTTCTGAAAAGCTGTCGTTGTAAATGGGTTGAAAGCAATGCTTTTCCCCGCATTGGGTCGGCAAAAATCGTCCTAACAGCCGAAGTCTTGTTATGTCCGTGCCGTAATAACCAAATATTTCCCCATAGTAATGTACACAAATTGATCGGGACTGGGAGAATGTGCTTGTTACATCTGAGATATCGTTAGGACCGAGCTCGTTATAACGGGATTCGACTGTATTTGTCAATATAAACACAGACTTGAAATCTTTCATACCTTTATCCACAAGCACAAGCCGAACGGATAATAACGGTATAAAGCGGCTGATAGCGCCCTCATGAGACAATTTATGGAGAACGAGGTCAGAATGGACCACCGTGATTGGAAACTACGTATGGCGTCCTGAAACAAAAGTCACTAAAGCCGATGAAGTGTGAATTTAAGACTCCTTTATGAAATAAGCTCTGACAGAAGCTTCTACATATTACTTAATACTTGATGGTCGGGTCGGTTGGTCTGATTTGTCTGTTTGTCCCGACAATTGGCCAAAAGGCTTTTGCCATATTATGTGACACCGGCGTCGCATTTTTCGGCATCGCCTTTTTAAGCTCAGACTGGGATCGTTTTAATCGATTTGTTTTCAGTGCAAGACTTTTCTGCAATCATGCAAGACTTATTCTTGCAACAGCCAGCGCTTGTTGTGCACATGTACTCCCGGCGGGGTTTAACCAGTGGGAATAAAAGGAAACCGATTTTCATTGGAGTCTGATTTTCATAGACACAGCGTTCATTTCTGAACGTGAAACTCTAGTTTGACTCGCCCACAATCCTTTGCGTTTCCGAAAGAATATTGATATTTGGCACAGACTTGAGATTTGTCTGCAATGCACACATTTGAGTCACGAAGGTCCTCACTCTATATTTAATATCCACTGACATAACTCTGGAAAATTGTAAGTTAAAAGTCTTTTCTATTAAGTGAAATATGCAATCTCGAACATTATACAAGCAAAAGGTAAGTCTGGCTCCTCTTAAAAACTTTTACCTTTTGTATTTACCTTGTAGGAGGCGGGAACCACGAGAGGCTTTTTCTTCGGAGGACAACTCTAATGATCAGGAGATGAGACTACTGTTTTCAAAGTAGATTGACATTTGGTTTAACTGTATATTTAGTGCTACTTACCAATTTCACACAAAACCAATCCCTATATCTAATTACTCAGCTTAGTTTTGCAGTCAAAACTATTCAAGTGGTATGGTTAAAAAACAATTAATGCTTGCTGAAAAGTCACGTTCGATACCATTCTAAAATTTAGAATTGCAAAGATATATAGTTTGCTTTTACATGCATTATCTTGCAGTCTTCAAATCTTAACGCAATCAAAGAGTTATTATCTACCGCCAATGTTTTTATATATTTTTTTTACCGCCCAAAAGTGAAAATAAATTTGCATTATGTCCTTGCAGCAATGTTTGAAAAAGTATAAATAGACAACTTTCTGAGTGCTTATCCGACCAAATATAAATATTAACGTTACCAATCATTACCATACACCTGTCAGTAAAACGTTCTTTTCTGAATCACTGAACTGAATCAAGTTAAAAAGGAAAAATTGCACGCAGCACTGAATCAACTTTTCAATCTAAAGCACTTATCACAATTCTAAAGAGAACACCGATGGTGTTATCAGTAAAAACGTTTTAACACTTCCTAACTGTACTCAATCAGATTTATAAACGACAATTTTTTTACAGTCACGAGTGTCCTCACTCAATATTTAATATCCACTGCCATAACTCTGGAAAATTGTAAGTTAAAAGTCTTTTCATTAAGTGAAATTTGCAATCTCGAACATTATACAAGCAAACGGTAAGTCTGGCTCCTCTTAAAAACTTGTACATTTTGATTTGTATTTACCTTGTAGGAGGCGGGAACCACGCGAGGCTTTTTCTTCGGAGGACAACTCGAATGATCAGGAGATGAGACTACTGTCTTCAAAGTAGATTGACAATTGGTATAACTGTATATTCCTACAAATGTACTATTAGTGAGACACGTTGGCGTAGAAAGTTCGATAGTAGGGAGACACGGGCTTAATAGGGAGACACCTAGGTGTCTCCCTATTGGCGCAGCCCCCCTTTAGAGGAAAAAAAAATGCTGTCGAAATCAGGTTATATTTGTTGCTCGTGGTCTAATTAGTAAAAATACCGAAATTCGTGGGAAAAAGGACAAGGGAATATTGGGTTAGGGCACATTGAAATCGGATTTGTTTTGTGTGCACAAGTCTATGGGAAAGTCTCCCTATTACCCCATTGCCGGTAATTATTATTACCCATATTGCTGCAAGTGTCCAGCGTAACTGGAATGTTTTGTTTCTTTTCATTAAATTCTTTCATGGTCGAGTTTATTTGACAGCCAATAGGACTCACAACAGTGGTTGTGCCTAAACTTAGGAGATGACATGGATTCAGGAATGATTATAAGTTCGCCTGACAGGGGTTGTAGCATCACGCGCTTTATTCCCTCGGTCATAAACATCTGTATTATTTAAATAACTAGCGGGGTGGAGTCATACACACTGTACGTATGATTACTTTGACCTGAATTTGCATGTTGACCCCAAGTGGGAGTGGTAAGTCTTGTTGAAAACATGTAATACAAGACAATTCGTCACCGACACCACGAACTGACACCCGGTGGTCAGCGTTGCAGAAATACAAATCGGAGAAAAACGCTTTTAAAGGATTGACACGAATTTATTCAGTAAAATAATCTATCTATCTTAGAGGTTTTAGTATCACTTAACGTGAAAATGCTTTAACTACTCAATTATAAACGTTATATTGTGAAAATATGCTTAGTTAATTAGCAATTAAATGATTAAGACGGGTGTCAGTTCGAGAAAACGAAAATTTATGTGATTTTTGAAAGTGCGCGCATGCAATAGCGTTCGTGAGTGTAAGTTCGTGAAAACAAAAATTGACGTGTTTTGGGAGAGTGCGCGTGCACACTGCGCATGCGTGCGCGCACTCTCCAAAAACACGTTAATTTTCGTTTTCACGAAATGACACTCCCTAACGCTATTGCATGCGCGCACTCTCCGAAAACACGTAATTTTTTTCCCCCGAACTGACACCCTGTGCAGTGTCACTTCGTGGTAACAAAAAACACCAGAAATGACCAATGTCTTGAACATTCATAAGTAAAATTTGCTTATTTTAGATGATTTCAGCAATTTTAACTTCGTCATGTTAAACTTCATGATACAATCTGCTAATATCGGCAAAAAAAGAAAATTTTAAATTGTAAATGTTTTTGTACACGTGTGATGCAGATGGTGTCAGTTCGTGGTGTCAGTGACGAATTACATTGCACCTGAAACAACAGTACAACAACCCATCAGTATCTAGTGCTGCATCAACTGCCCAAAAAAAAAGAAAATATTAAATGTCTGGTAGGCCTTTAGTCTCTATTTGTACACATTTCCTCATAATAACACAGAATGAAGAAGTTAGTCTTTTCAAACACTTGGACCATGGCTGGACACGAACAAGTCTAGTCTTTAGCCTCATTTTAAAATCACTTGACTTTCCTCTCATGTGCAACATATTGAAGAAAATGCTCCTTTAAATAATTGAATTGAATCTTCCAACTTGGTTGGTGAAATACTAAGGACCTTTTCTTTGCCAAATGAAATTTTTTGAGACTTCATAATTTCATTTTGTATGTTTTTCAGCACTCAAGGTCCCAGTCCGGGGTAATATGAGCAATATTGAATTAGGCTGTCTCGATATTGCTCCATAATCTTATAATGTAGGTCTTAATGATGAGTTTAGTGAAGAAACAACATAAGAAGTTTCATGCTTTAGTAACATTGTCATGCTTTAGTAACATTGTATCAGCTTGTTGACTTTAACAGCCCCACTACTGCCGCTAAAGATTCAATTCGGGCGATACACAATGCTTGCGCCACCAAGAGTTTGCCACGGAGAGTTTGTTTTTCAAGGCCACGGACGACAAAACATGGCCCATTTGAACGAGTGTCAGTAGGAAACTTGAGCTAATTTGATATAGATTGGGGCAAAACGTTCTGCCGCCTTACAAAAAAAAACCTCCATATTGATAAAACGAAAAGAGGAACACAGATACTTGAATGATACGCTTACAAACTTTCTCGCCGGAAAAAAACTAACAATTTCAAATGTCCCGATCTGCGAATTTGTCGACCATCTCCCACAATGCACTGGGAAAAATGAACTCTCTGTGGCAAACTCTTGGTGGCGCACTGCATCATTACTGGACCAAGCCGCCAGTCTAATCTGGCTTTCGCGAACCCGGGATTCCCCGGTCCGTATTCATGAGCCCCCTTCTGAGATAATGGCTCTTTAAACAGTTAACGACCATATATCAATTATGTTCGCACATATGCACATACTAATAATACGGGTGGGAGTGCAGTGGTTTGTCCTTGTTAAACAGTCAGGCTATCCCCAATGTATGTGCGTCTGTTGTCCAGAGCCGGCCTGCCTCCCATCAGAATTTGAGTGACGAGTGACGAACCAGTTAAGTGCTGGAGAGCTACCTACATCTAAGAAAGCCACATTAGACTGGGCTAAGTCCAGTAATGTTGTGAATCGCCCGAATTCCATCTTCAGCCTCAAGCCCCAAAACTGATATACTATTGTTCTTTAACTAGTCATGTCCTAGCTGCTACCTGTGCGTTTGACATAATTACTTATTTTTTTAAATCAAAAGATGAACATCCCTAATAAAAGGACCCCGAACATATGTAATGCATCTGTGAAGTTTCAATTCAACCTGTTAAAAAGTTTTGTTGCCATTGTCATTTGAAGTCTGCACTCTCATGTACATTCAACATGGGTCAAAGGTAAATTTCTTCAGAGGGTTACACATGCCAAAAAACCGGGAAACCATTATTTAAAAAAAGTAAACAAATTGAAATGTTTTCAGGTGAATAGGCCTATTATTTTTTTTTTTAGAGTGCAGGGGGCACGTACACATCTTTTGAACGATGACTGCAAAAACAATGCGCTTAAAACGCCGATCGATTGGCATTGTGAAACGGCTACCAAAAAAAGATGTCGCATTGGATGGAATGGGCTATACGTACATGTACATATCCAGTTGTCTATAATTTTGCTGTGTAGGTTTACCGACGTATGGGAGAGATATGAAGAAAAAACTTCAGAAGTATGCACTGATGAATCGGCTCTAATACTTATATCTCTATTGAATGGTCCCCCATTTGCAGAGGGCGTTACCAAGCCAACCAGTTATCCTGTCGTAGCTCTACCGATTTTTTGAAAACGTGTTTCTCATCAAAGGAGCTGCAACTTCTTGCAGCCATCCTAGCTTTATTTGCAAAGTTGTTATTTGCGCTTTTAGGCTTTTAAGACAAAATTAACTGAACTGCTAGCAAAGCAACAAGCACGTCAATAAGTGGCTTCCAATCTATAGCGATGACAGCGCGGGGTGCGCAATAAAGCTCCTAAAAGAAAATCAATTATTGTGGCTTTGTTGGGATCGCATATGAGGTGTTTCTTTTACAGTCTGGAAGCGATTTCACCGATGCGTATGAAGGTTTAAAATAAACAAGAAGGCATCAATTCACACAAAGGATAGGCGTATACGCCTGCAAATCTCATCATATAGGCATACGCTACCCCTAACAGTCCGTAATCCTCCAATGTCAATACGATTTTGCACACCCCCTAGGGAGTTAGGGTTAATGTTTTTTTTGTTATTATAGTTGGGTTTTCATCAGCAGTTCTTGTTTTGTGGCTGACGTAGGCAGATCAATGCTCGGAGCGTTGACAATGATGAAGAAAACGAATACAGGACTGAAGGGTTTACTAACGGATCTGCTTACTGTGTCGGCAGAACATTATTGAAAAATACGAGAGATATCAAACAGATCCGAAGTGAATCTCCTTTAGATCAGAACCTTTGAGCAAAGGCAATAACCAATGGAGATGCCTCCCCTTTAATTTTGTCCGAGCTCGACATCATCGCAACAAGACGTAGCAACTGTTAATTGAAGTTTTATGAGCCTATGATTAGTTCAGACTACTGGATAGACTTGGGTATGACACGTGATGACTTTGTATGCCCTGATAAGAACTCTGCTCCTAAGTTAGGACAGAAAAAAAATAACGACAAAACATATTTCTTTCTCCATTTTTATTTATCACTTCACAGATCTTCGTTCCTCGTCACAACAATCAGTTTATTACCCAGACAAGAACCTTTGTACAGCAGGAAGTGCAGCAAGCTGACATTGTATGTTCTTGGGATTGGTTTTGTGTCCCTAGGATTGGCATCTGAGGAGCAGACCAGTTGGTCATTCATTGCAAACCAAAGAACGCTAAAATAGTGATGTATACTTACACCATTGCTTAGGATATTTGTATATCTGAATATGAAACCACTTTTACTATTTGTTTGAAAACACACATTTTAACGAAAAACTGTTCAATTGTATTCAATTTATATTCCATGTTGCATCCGCTACAATATCTGTAAGCAATCCGTTCTTTTCTGGACTGAATAACTTAACTTTTTCATGCAACACCAAGTTTAACACTTATCACATTTCTGAAGCGCACATAGATGCTTTCTATATAAGAACACGAATTTTAAAAAGTCAAAAACTCATTTAGCAAATCACAAACTGTCAACAAACATGACATGATCTACAAAATATCAAAACGATATATCCTCTTTGACTAAAAAAGACCATTGGTTATTTGCAGAAATATGGTTTGTTTTGTACAATCACACATTTCAGTGAATAAACAGACTTCAGTGCTAAAACGAACTGAACATAACAAGCGAATTGCTAAAAATATTTTGAAGGCGATCCAAATTCCATGGTGCAAAATCTTCATATGTACAATCTTGACAAACCTCAATTTTAAAAATCGCGAAAAGCTATGTACAGATCAATGACTATAGTGCGAAAAAAATTAGAACTTGTAAAACGGGCACAAACAGATACACATTATTTGTTTTGTTTTTATACACTCAATTGCTATGATTATGAGCTACCGCCTCATATTTAAATACACCAAACAATGGTTCTTGCGGGAGTACATCGCATTCAAATTC